GCAAAAGTGGGGGAAAACAAGCTGGAAAAGGAAAGAACAAGCTGAAGAGCAAAACTCTGATGTATTCCTGGGCTCGGGCTCTTGCTTAAGGGTGTCTCTGAGCCCGTTTGGCTGCAAAGCCCACCATGCTACTCCAGCTCCACCACAGTTCCACCCTTCCGGGTGGCTCCAGCTGCTAAGAAGTGCAAAGACAACATCAGATCTGCCCCCCAGTCCTGGCCTCTGGAGGTTTGGGCCTCTCTTTGTGGGGATGCTGCTGGAGCACCTCTCGGGGGGGACGTCCACAGTCGGCACTGAGCACGGGACTCAGCACACCATGTTCTCTCGCAGGATGCTTCACTGCTCCCACAGCATCCCAAAGCACTGTGCTCAAGGGGCTGTGGGGAGCAATTATGGACTGTGCTGTAACAGGGGATCTTTTCCCAGGTGCCTCCCAGGAGTATATTGAAATCACTCTGGTGCTGCCAGACACACCTGGTGTGAAGAGAAAAAGCATCTTCTCAAGGTAAGCTGTGCAGGCACTGGGTCACCTGTGTCCTCAACATCTGTGCAAGGTGAGTGCTTGAGGGCAGAACAGCCATAGGATTGAGGAGAAAAGGAGTCAGCCCCATGCCAGTGTTCTGGGAGGCCAGCTCTGCCCTGCTCTGCTCTGTGCCCCTCACCCATGACCACCAGACATGGGTGTCCTTGCTGTCCCTCTCATGGCAGACAGATGAGTACCCAGGTGCCTGGTACACGTCTCAAAGTTCACAGCACCGCAGCTCGCCAGCTCGCAGCACAGCAGGAGCCCTGCCCCTACGGCAAACACGGCACTGCCTGGCTGCAGACGTGGCCCTCCTTCACCTATGCCACAGCTCGTTCCCGTCGGTGTTCCTGGCCTGTCCGGCGTGTGGTTCTACAAACACAGCAAGACCGTGGTGTCGGCTGGTGCATCATACAGAGCAGCACCCATCAGCTGCTCCCAAGTCTACCTCGAGCTCACTTGTCTCATATTAGGTTTGATTGCAAATCAAATGCTATTTAATTAGCAGAAAGGCAAACAGACACTTCCAATGACTGGCTGATCATCCAGCTAATGACTCTCACATCAGCAGATGTAATTGCGAACCCCTACAGTTATTGGAAAATGAAATGAAGATGCCACTTGCATCCTGGTTGCACAACGCCTTTGACATCTCCTTCTCTGGCTTGCGGGCTGGAGGGCACTGCTGGGACACACACATGGTCTGCCGTGCCTCATCCCTCCTGCACCCTCCACCTCCCAGTGAGGCAACTGGTGCCAGAAAAGCTAAGCTGGTTTTCTGGTAGCCCAGACTGTGGCAGTGCCTTGGTATGTCCCTGGTTCTGGGGAGGCCCCGGCGCACAGGGAGGGAGCTGGGGGTGGGTGCCCTCCCCAGGGGTCTTGTGCCATGTCTGTATGCCATCTTCCAGGTGAACCAGGCATGTAGTTTTCCACCTCTGCTTCATTAAACCAATGCAAAGGCTCTGTGGACACCTACTTATACTTAGCACAGGTTTATTTTAGGTACAGGAAAAAGTTTTCAGTGGTGATGAAGAGATTTATGAACCAAAACCCCTCCTACCTTTGCCCCATGATGTGAGCACTTTGGGGCCCAAACCTCCTGAGAAGGCACCATGTGAGACTTCTGCTCCTTGTCCAAATCCAAAAGTATTACAACTAAGGAGATTGTTCCTGAGTCAAAGTCATTTTTCAGATTGGGTTTAAGCTAGCGAGCTCTTGCAGTCTTGTCCATGACAGGGTTAACCACAGGAGCACGCTCAAGCGAAGGGCTCTGCTCCCTGATGCCACAGCCGTCTCCCTGCTCAGCTTTGCTTCTCCAGGCTGACCACGTCGTGCCATGTCCTCTCCGATGGACTCTCCCCTCTCCAGGCATCCTGCCTGCCCGGCTCAGCTTCTTCCTCCTCGAGTGGTCTCTCCGCTCCCTGCACGGTCTCACTAACATACCACAGTATCAGTATTTTCCCACATGGACTGGAAACCTTTCTGCTGTCTCCATGGCCAGTTGGGCATCCTGTGCCACACTCGTGACTCTTGGCTACCCTGGGCTGACCAGACCACTGGGTCTCCAGTCAAGGACCCTGTAGGCAGTCAGACTGCTCTATAGTTCCAGAGCTGCTTTGTCCACCTAGTTTTCTTTCTTTTTCTTTCCCCTAAAGCCTTTCAAATGCCTGGTGTTGGATTCCTCTTCTCTCAACGGACATAGCCTCCCATCACGAAATTGCTTTGCACCCTCACTGCAGGAGAAGCAGCATTCATTCTGCCCGAATTAGATGCAGACATGCTCTCCCCTTGCAGTTCTGCTGACATGCAGCAAACCTCAGAAGACTCTCCTCCCTCCTTGATGCTGCTTTTCCCATGCCCTCATGTTGTCACCGGGCACCCTACCTTTACCATAAATTGTCACTGTCCTCCTGGAAAACTGGGAGTGGGCGATGTCTGACTTCCAGGGCACTGAACTGAGAAGCACTGCGGGGCTGCCTGTCCTTCAACTACGTGGCTGTAGGGTGTATATTAATCCTACAACACTACAAGCAATTTTCAGTCTCCCTGCACTCCTTCATCTTTCAGTGCAGGCTTTGCTTACCACTTTTCAGGCTCTTTTCTTTCTTTGCAGCCTTTCCACAAAGCTTTCCAAATACCCTCCTTGGTGTATACACATTGCTCATTTGCTAGGGGAAAAGCCCTGCTCCACTAGCTTCTCCCTTGTGCTCGAAAGGGAATTTTTAGCTGGGTTTTGCACCTTTTCTTTCATGAAATCCCAGCTTTTTTTCTACATTTGCATGCTTGACTTCCCAAATCTGCCCAGCTGCAGTAACCAGCTCTCTTCACTTGTCCTGATTTGTGCTTGTTCACAGCCACAGCCACCAATCTGCTCCTATTGATCTTCCCATTTACGCAAAATGGCATTGACTCATGCCTCCTTTAGCTGAAGTTATTTTCTCAGACAGCTCTTCTAAAAACAGCCTATTTTTCAGGAACAAGTACAAAAAAAACCCCATCAGCTTGCTTCATGCTGTGACCTAGTGAAGAGGTATGGAAGATGTCATATCCAAGGATATCTGGAATGACCAGTACAGACAAGACTGTGATTTATAACACCACCACCCTCCCAAAGAGTTACTCTTCCTGGAAGAACTTCTCTCCTGGGTCTTTGTCCTCACCCTGGTCTGACTGGGGGATCTGTGAGAGGCTCGCAGCATTGTCCAGGCAGACCTTCCATTCACTCCTTCCTAAGGCAATTTAGATCCAGGAATATCTTCTGATGGTACCTTTCAACATCTTGTGCTGTGCTACCCTTCCTCCTTCCCTCCCGTTCTCACCCTCTCCTCCTGTGTCTTCCACTGCCTCTTCTCTGGTCACACCAGCTATTTCTCTGACCTCTGGGAACACCTGCTGCCATGGGCAGCTCCATGTAGTCATTTGAGTTCCTCCATACCACCTTTGCATGAGGCCACAATTGTTCGTGTTATTTCCTACAGACCATCTGGTCTTCCTGAGCCAGAGGAGACACCAGCCTTTTGCTACTCATAGCACTCTCCCAGCTGCTCTTATCCCTA